TAAGATGAGCAATGTCTAGGGTCTGCCATGTACCTCGATTTCCTTTTCTTTTCTTTCCTTTTTTTTTTTTTTGAGACATTTACCATTATGTACCCCAGACTAGATTCAAACTTGTGGAAATCCTTTTGCCTCTGCCTCCAAACTACTGGGATTACAGGTGTGTGAGCCACCGTGTTCAATCTGGCTTTCACTATAACATCAGTTTACAAAGTTATTTCCAACTACTTGGAATGTAGTACAAAACTTATAAAAATGATGAATCGTACCTGAAGACCAACTATATCTAATCCTACTCCGTTTTAAACAAAAGACATACTTATAGAAGCATCACTTGAGCTCTATGTGAAAGAATAGGCTTTATTTCCCTTGACAAATAGAAAATATAAATCATGGCCAGCTAAAGCTGTTTTCTCAAGATAGTAGAAACTCAAATGCAAGGAAAATAGAGTAGAAAATTAATCATGGAGAATACAGAAGGCTTTAAGACACAATTATTCAGCACTAACTAGAACAGATACAGCACCCAGCCATCTTACTTGACCTGTGTGACATTGCCAATGCCATCCTACTTCCACAGGAGTTTGAGTTATTTGTCATATTTTATTTTCAACAACAGCTTCAAGTTCATTTACATATTAACCCTACAAAGTAAGTACTCTTCTCTCAATAGGGCGCTGGCACTCCTTTGGAAGGCAAATGGGCCCTTTGATACAAGATGTTGCAATTTGAAAGCCAGTTGCTCTCAAATACTTGAAAATGCACATTGACATAATAAATGGCCTCCCCAGTTAAGTCCCTGATTTTAATAAGTGAAATTCTTCCAAATATTCTAGAACTTTTCCAGTCATTTTAAGAATTTGTTCCAAACCTTTTCAGACGTATCCGTAGCACACACTGCTCTATCTCGGCCCCACTTCCTTCCTTACTTGCCCACTCTCCATACTGCATAAATCGCTCTTCTGCATCCATGTCTGTCTGGTTTGTACTGTGATCATGAGTTTACCGTGGTCGTAAACCATGGTCTATGTAACCAGGAGTTTAACCAGGGCCATCTGTATGGCCAGGAGTTTAACCAGGGCTATTCTGTGAGACCAGGAGTTTAACCAGAATCATCTGTGTGACAAGGAGTTTAACTAGGACCATCTGTGTGACCAGGCTTTTAACCAGGGCCCTCTGTGTGACCAGGAGTTTAACCAGGGCCCTCTATGTGACCAGGAGTTTAAACAGGAGCATCTGTGTGACCAGGAGTTTAACCAGGGCCATCTGTGTGACTAGGAGTTTAACAAGGGCCATCTGTGTGACTAGGAGTTTAACAAGGGCCATCGGTGTGACCAGGAGTTTAGCCAGGGCCATCTGTGTGACTAGGAGTTTAGCCAGGGCCATAGGTGTGATCAAGAGTTTAACTAGGGCCATCTGTGTGACCAGGAGTTGGGAGCTGTGCATTGGAGCTGGTAGTCTTAGCAGTGGGTGCACAGTCTCCTTATCCAAGCATCTCTCAGTAGCAGTAGCTCAGGGGTAAAGGTAGCACCCGGTGAGCCCCTCTGCCTTTCTTGACTGATTGTTGATAAGACCTGTCTTGCATGGGTTCAATGTATGAAAACTCAGGATATTTATCTCTCTCTCTCTCTCATACACACACACACACACACACACACACACACACACACGTACAAGTGATGGGAAGCAGCCTACTGTAACAGAGTATCAGTGATTAGGCAGTGTTTCTAGTAAGCAAGAAACAGGGGTACACAGATTCAGTCTTCACACAGTAAGGAGCTCTGGGAGCTCGCTCCGCTCCCAAAACCACCAGAGTTTCTATCAGTCATGGAAAGTAGAGAGAGAGAAAGTACTTCTAACTTGCATTTGCAGTTACTTTGTCTGTTACAGAAACAATTTCAGGAAGGAGAGGCTTAATAGGCCCACAGAGGGCACAGCCCATGGTGATAGGAGAGTCATGAGGGCTGGAGTGGCCTAGTTTATATTAGGCCCCCACCAGGAAGCAAAGGTGGATGTTACTTTGAAGGCTTACCCTAAGCTTCCCACATCTGTCAGCTACACTGCAGTCCCAGAGGTTCCACAACCTCCCCCAAGGAGGGGGTGACATGTGCCACTCACACCACATTCTAGAGTTGGGGATGCAGAGCTCGGTGAAGCTTAGGTGTTACTCATATGCCATCCACCTTGAGTTGTCAGACAGGATCTCTCATTGGCTTAGAACTTGCTGTCCAGGGAGCCTGGGAGACTTCCCTGCCTCCGCCCTGCCTCTGCCCTGCCTCCTAGTACTGAGATTACAAGCACAGGCTAGCATGCCTGGTCCTCCAGAACATGCTCTATTTTCATGACCCACACGTTACCGACCAGCTGTTACCCCAATCCTGGAGCCGACATTTGTGTTGAGAGCATGTGGGGTAAGAGACAAGTTAGTGGCATCCTTCCGTCCATGTTGTTCCGGCGCAGCAGAGGCACAGAGAGGCAGCCCTTCCATGCTGGCTGGTTATAGATGCAGCCTTGTTGGAGTCACCGACTGGGGGGGGGGGCAGCCCCTCAGCTGACTCGTTAGGCACTGACAGTGATCTGTCAGAGAAGAATGAGTCTCGGAGCTTCCGTGCTCACGCTAATGCTTCTTATTAATGACCGTTCAGGGTGGATGATATTGAAATTCCACCTGCCACAAAGAAAGAAACCTAAAAAAATGAATCAGTTTCAGGATGAGGATAGAAAACTGTCCCCAGACAGGAAGCTGAGTGACAGCCATTGGAAAATGAAAGCAGCCTGCAACTGAGATGTGCGCTGGGCAAATAAATCTCCGTTGCCACCTGGGACTTGGTTTGGTTGGTGATTTTCCCTTTACTGGTGGCGTGTGTGAACTTGACCCAAACAACTCTCTGTGGGCACCTTACTCACTGTGTGGACTCAGAAGAAAAGAAAATTGAATCCAAACTTCTAAACACAGACTCTGAATGGTCAACAGAGTCTACTTATCACTGGTCCACCAGTCAGAGTGTGTGTGCCTGTGTGTGTGCATGTATGTGTCTGTGTGTGTGGGTGCATGCGTGTACATGTGTGTGTGGATGCATGCATGCGTGTGTTCATGTTTATATATGTGCGTTTGCGCATGTGTGTGCCTGTGTATGCATGTGTGCCTCTGTGTGTGTGCATGTGTAAGTGCATGCATGTACGTGTGTGTGCATGCATGGGTGTGTTCATGTGTACGTATGTGTGTTTGTGCATGTGTGTGCATATGTATGTATGTGTGTGCATGTGTGTGTGTAGCTTATCAGGTCTTCTGCTGAATGCTGCTTCAGAGGCCTCCATGTTTGGGGTCAGAGTTCAGCACTCTTTTCCTATAAGGTTCAGGAAATAAATGTTTTTGATTTTGTAGGTTGGGTGACTTCTTATACAACCATCAAAATTGGCTATTCTAACACAAAATTGACCACAGACTATGAGCATGTAAATAAATATTTGTTTTTAAAAAATTCTTATTTTTGGATACTAAAATTTGTCGGAAATCCTTAATCTGAATAGTGTTTTAAGAGTCTTTCTGATGGACAGCGTGTGAGCCTTGTTTTGGGAAAATGTGACTTTGGAGGGAAGTAATGAAGAGAGTTGGACCTATTTCTTCATCAGTTTTCACTCAGGGACCCCATGGGACACAACCCACTTCTTTATTTCTCCAGTGGATCTTAGCATTTGCCGTAATCGGGAAGAGGAGCCCACCTGAGGAAAAGGTACCCAGGACTGCCCTCCAGCTCAGATATGGCTCAGAATCACTCAGACAGAGATTCTACAAACCACTTATTTCAATATTTGTCTTGGGAGTTACTTTTTTTTTAATTATCCAAATGAAACAATTGACCTAAAACCCACCTCACTTCCTGTAGAGCACAGACGTGGTGATTGCCGCCCTGAGCTCAAAAGTCAGAAACAAAGATAAGCCTCAAAGCTTGTAGAGGCAGAAGCGGCTGCTGGATCCCTTGACCCAAACCATTTTACACAAGCTGTATTTTATATTTTGTTAAAAAAAAAATCCAAGAAACTTTCTAAGCTCTGTATTTTTTCCCTGAAGAAAATATGGGGGAAGAGGCAGAAAAGAGTAATGAAATAGTAGGCGATTACAGAAAATGCTGTAATCACCTGGAAATACATACATGAGCACACACAGACACACACGGATATACAAGCAGACACACAGACACAAATACATACAAAGATGCCCGCACACCTCACCTGCGCTAAAGCATGAGTGTACCCAGATGCCTCCAAATCAAAGTATTCTGTTTTGAAAATTCTCTTGTACAACTTTTAATCCTATCACATAAGCTGTAGGTGTTTTATTTTCTTTTTTCTAAGCAATATCTGCCATACAACCAAGACTGCCTCGAGATCATGTTTCCCCTGCCTCATCTTCCTGAGGGCTGGGATTACAAACGTCACAATGACTGCCTAGATGGTTTTGTTTTGTTTTTATAATAGATTCGTAATTGTTTCCAACTAAGAAGCAGCAGAGTTGCTCGCTTTAATGATAGCTCTAACTTTTAAGCCATTGATAGTGGAACACAACATCATACTGGAAATAGGGACACTTTATTTTGAAGACCTTGGGTGTCAGGGCTTGGGAGCTGGCTCAGTAGATCTCTGAACACTGGATGAACCTTCAGAGGACTGGGGTTTGAGTCTCCATACCCACGTGGCAGCTCACAACCATTTATGATTATGGAAAGAAAAAGCCTACTTGATGTTGGTGTATGCTAATCCCTAGAAATGTTTCCCACATGAACCAAGAGAGAATAAACACTAGAGCTCAAAGAGAGTTCTTGTCATGGTGATTTGACTCCCCCACTTGGCCTAAAGTCTCTGCTGAACAAATTCACCCGTCCTGCCTTTCAGGACTGTTTGCTGGAGGTGGCTTATAGCTGTTATCTTTCTTTCCCTACGTTTTGTAGGGTGAAGAAGTCACTCGGGATGCCTTTTAATTCTCCGTTCCTTTCTGTTCTCAGGAGTTGTACGGATGTTCTGTGCTGTATGATCTTCATACTGTTTGTTGTGGGCTACATTCTGTTAGGACTCCTGGGTGAGTAACCACAGGTATAAGCAATACTAGCCATTTGTTAGTGGATCAACAACGCCAGTATCTCATTTTAAACATGAGTTGTTTTCTTCTTGTTATTGACGCTATCTTCTCTGGACTTGTTTGGTGGTGATACAGTACAAAATCGGCACGGCGCAAAGTGGCCAAGTGGAAGCTAAGGCAGCAGCAAAGAGAAAAGACAGGTTTCTAGTTCCTTCTTTAATAATTTCTACCTTTTAAATCCCAGTGCAGAGCTAATTATACCAGGGCTGCTGCTGGCTGTAGGAACTGTTAGCTAGGGTGGTTGGGCAGTTTTTAAACGTGTTGATTCATAAGCTAGACAGGGTAAGGGCAATGATTATCAACTTCACCAGCTAGACAGGGTAAGGGCAGTGATTATCAACTTCACCAGCTAATTCATTCTTTAAACTGAACCCTGTTCTCTTTACCTACCAAGAAAGAGGCACTCTTGCTTGCTGTTAGGTTAAAGATTTTTCTGGAACACAGAAACAAATAAGACAAACACATATGATTGTTTTAAAGAAAATAGCACAAAAAGAAAACAAAAAAATCATTGTGTATTTTCCTATAAAAAGATTTTATAATTGTAGTCAGTACAGCAGACAGTTCCACCAGGAGATGTCATCCTGTCTCCCAGGAACTGACTTAAGAAGATTTGATTTGCCTCTGTAAGGGTGAGAGCTGTTTCCATCAGATCTCAGCACCAATAACTATTGACCTGTGGTTAACATGGAGAGAAACCTGCACCATGTTACAGAACACTGTAAAATATTTTGGTCTTTCTTTTTACCCTCTAGTAAGAGACGTGTCCTGAGAAGGGAAATTAAAAGTAACTCCCCAACTTAATCTCTGTATCACCAAACAAACAGAATTGTATAAAATCCAGGACAGGAAAAGAAAATTTTAACAAGCATTAACACAGAAATAAATAATATGCCTTTATAAGGGCTCAAAGAATGTCCCTCTTGTTCTTAAATATTTAACTTTGTAACATCTAAGCATTACTGTAGATTGAATACAACCTCTAGGTTGATTAAATATTTAACTTTGTAATATCTACACATTACTGTAGATTGAATATAATCTCTTGGTTGAATATTATCAAGTGTTTTATAACTTCAGGACACATTTTTTTCTAGTTTACATAAATATTGGTTATTTTTGCTACTGTCATAGAATTGAAATGTGTTGTGTAAGATGAGGAGAATTTGGAACTAGGCAGGTCTAGATTCTCATACTCTTTTGTGGGGTACAGGTAACTGTTTAACCAGCTCACTCACCTGGGAAGAATAGAAACACTCCCTGAATTTCCAGGCCAGTTGTGAGGGATGAACTGCAATGCCCAACCATGTCGGCAGTGCCGGCGAGAGTACTAGACAGTACATAAATAATTTAGCTCTTTGAAATTGCAATAAATTAGTTTAAGTATGATTTACAATGTTGTTTCTGTTGCAACCCATAATTTTGGTTATTAAAGTTTGAGTGTACACAGGAACTCAAGGGGCTTCTGCTGTGAGCGGAATCCTTCCACACAAGGCCTAACTCAACACTGGTTGAGTCTCTCTGTAGGGTAGGTGTCTGTTCTTATAGGGATTGTCAAAGTCACAGCTGCCCCTGGCAGGGTCAGTGGGAGAGTGCCCAGCCACCTATGTCCATGGCAGGATCATGATAAGAATTTCACCTTTTTGTTCAAGATCTCCGGATTTGATTTGTAAACGTTTTGATTCATATAGGAAATTGGGGAACAGGTTTTCCTCAATCAAAGTCAATATTCAATATCAAATTAATTCAGCATTTCTCCCAAATTAATCCTGATACCACTGCTAGAAACAAAGGACTCAAGAAATTCTCTAAATATTCACATACTGACTCTATCCCTCAGCTATAGCTGGCTTTGCTGGTTTGAGTTCAAGATATTGACTTAACTCCTGGCTATATCCAACGGGAGGCTGGAAGAGGACCACAGGGGTACCATTGGCGGGGCAATGTTACGAATGTTAACAATGGCTGTAGCACGGAAGAATGAATGCTTTCCCTTGAGAGGTCATTTTCACCATGGTGATATTTGCACCTGTGGGGCCTGGCCATCTCCATTAGATCAGGACCTTCACGGGTTGGTCATTTATCTGTGACCTCTCCGTGAGTGTCACCATGCCTATTAGTTATGTTTCTGTTGCTGTTATAAAGTACTACATTCAAGACAGAAGAAGAATTTTATTTGGCTTGTGATTCCGTGGAAGTGAGGCCTGGCAGCAGGAAGCTGGGCACCCACATCTCTTAGCGCAAACCCTAAGCAGAGAGAAAACCGGAAGTGGCATGAGGCTTAACTCTCAGTGCCGTCCCCAGGGATTTGCTTCTTCCAGCAACAGCGCACTTCCTAAGCCTCCCAAATAGCATCGTCATCTTGGGGACCAAGCATTCAAAGACCTGAGCCCATGGGCAGCATTTCTCATTCCTTCACACCATGGAGGAGCCATTTCTGTTTCTCACCAGAAACCAACTAGGCAGACCTTGTTCTGAAATGGAATATTAGTTTAAGATGTGTTACATTCACTTATGCTATGGAATATTTTTTTGATGATGCAAAGATGCGTTGCATTTGTTTAACTCTGTAAAGCTGTGTTACTTTGCCTGGCTAAAACACCTGATTGGTCTAATAAAGAGCAGAACAGACAATAGCTAGGCAGGAGAGGGAAAGGAGGGGCTGCCAGGCAGAGAGAATAAGTAGGAGGAGAAAGAGAGAAGAGGGGGAGCAGGAAGAGAAAGAGAGGAGGATGCTTGGGGCAGCCACCCAGTCACACAGCCAGCTATGCATAAGAGGAAAGGCAAATGCCCAGAGGCAAAAGGTAGATGGGATGGTTTAAGAAAAGCTGGCTAGAAATTAGCCAAGTTACGCTGGGCATTCATAAGAAAGAATAAGTCTCTGTGTGTTTATTTGGGGGCTGGGTGATGTGAGTCTTCAAAGAGTAAGAGTTAAAGAAAACAAAAACAAAAAACCCCACTAGCCTGTTCTCTGCTCCACGTGGAGTGTGAGCACAGGGTGACTCCTGCGCGCGAGCAAGGCACTAGCATTCCGCTGACAGAATCTTTGACTGAGTGGATGGAGTGGAGTCTGGCTAGAAGGGAATCCAATCTCGCTGAATGATCACGTGAACATTTAAGATAGAAACTCTCTTTGTGCTCCTTCACAGGTGGTTGCTGGTCAATTACTGCACTAACTAGAAAAAAGAATAGGAATTCTTGTTACGCAAATTGCTTTCTGCAAACCTTGGACTAACATTATATACATAAAAATTGTGACATTCAACAATCTTAACATTCAACAAATTTTTCATTTTGTTTCTCTCTTGAAGCGTTAGTCCACGGTTACATTTCCTTGTGAAATACCGCAGACTGGAGCCCAAAGTATGTTCTGGGTTTTTAGTGTTTTCCTGGAGTGATTACCCTTATTAGCTGAGAAGATGGGAAGTTAATAGGGACATTTGTGCAGGCAAGCCCAGAACTCTGTCCTCCTGCTGTGAGAAACCCAAGAGTCATGAAAAAGCTTCCAGGATGGGGTGAGGGGGTCTGGACAGCAGTCTGAACTGGACAAACTAGGTTAATTATTCCTGCTGGAATGCTGACTTCCTATCTGAGAGACCCCAAGTAAAAGGCAAACTTTCCCCTAAATCTCCATCTCCTCAGATTATGAGGAAATGTGTGCCTGAAGGAAACACAGTAGAGAATCAGACAGAGCCTGGAATCAGGAAATAGGAGCCTTAGCAAGACCTGAAGGGTAGCATTGTCTCTGTGGCATTACCTTGGGGTGTTTGTGTCTGTTTTGGCCAGGAGACCTAGCTGAGAAGCTGGATCTGTCCTGATGTGAAGTCACAGGGAATTTGGCAGGTTCTCCCTTTCATCTCTTAGATCAAATTGGTCTTTTCCCATCAAGGGTACAAGAAATGGAGAAAGCCCCAATCCCTAAGCAAGGTCACTCACTCATGTGACCTTTCCAGGAATAAAGATAATTCTAGGACGATTTTTGGTTCTGTCTGTAGAGAAATGCAGGGGCTGTTTTATTCAAGTTAAGTATAATTAAACATCATAAATTTTTAGATTTGAAAATATACAATTGAGCCAGACACCAGGAGAGACATCACTGGGGTGCGTGAGTTTCTGACCGCGGCAGCAGCCCGGGACAGGGAACTCAGACACCCCTCCTACACTTCCTGGTCATCCTCAGGGGCTACTCTGCCCGATACCCCCTCTCTCTTCCTATCCCACCCAGCTTGCATCCACATCCCTCCCCCCCTCCATCTGACTCCCTTCCCTCGTTGACCACATAACATCTCCCAGCCCAGCCTGTCCGGGCTCTAGGACCGAATCCGAATTGGCAGGGCAAACGGGAGGGTTGTAGCTCCTTTGTTCCCACTAGCCTGCCTGCAGCGAGAGACACCCAGGCAGCAAGGAGATCCGAACCCGGCACCAGGAGAGACACCAGGCTTGCATCCACAACCCACCCAGAGTGGTCCTGAGGAGTTCCATCTGGACGCAAAGACTGGACCAAGACACCAGGCCTCTCCTGGCTCCATTTGGAGGAGATGGGAAGGCGCCAATGCAAGACTTCCTCCAACAACCTGAAAGGCAACATGACTTCACCAGAATCAAGGGATCCCGAAATAAGAAGAATTGTACACCCTACTCCAGAAGAATTAGAAGAAATCGACTCAAAAGTGAATTATATGAAAATAATAGAAGACCTTAAGCAGGAGGTGAAAAACTGCCATAAACAATTAGAGATTACAAACAAAAAGGTAGAGGAAATGAATAAATCGCTCAAAGATACCCAAGAAAACCAAGAGAAACAAG